CTTCCAACGTGGAAGACCTGTTTTCTGTCTCCTTTAAATCAATTAGCGTAGTTTAGATTTGCTACGCCATGTAGAATAACTATACGCTGCCAATCGTGCATTACGAATATAGTCTAAGAGTCTTGGGGAATAAGTAATAGTTGTCATGTTTAAGATATTGCAGTAATTTATATATATAGTATAAGCCATTGAACCATTAGCAGTTGAGAACAATCTGAGAATAAGATTGGCATATTTTAGAAATCTCATGCTGTTGAGATTTATTGCTTTAACACGTTTTAATGAATACAACGTTTGGAAAGCCATATGTTTGTTATGCTTCAAAAATCCATAATCACTTTATATGATTAAATATAATGTTTAAATGAAAGAAATGTAATTTACTCTTATTCATCGTTAATGATTGAATTTATTTTTTTCTTTCAAGAATAGATTTAAATCATTAAAAAAACCTTCTTTCTGATTTATTTTGATTTCCCGTATTCAAGGTGAAATTGTTCCCATTTTACTCCTATTGACAGACTTGTTTAGTACTAAAAAAAGCAAAAATTTTTCATTGAAAAAAAAAGAAAAAAGTTTCTTGCCAAGCATTTCATTTTCAGAAAAATAATCCCTCAAAGATACCATGATTAAAATTGTGTACGCCAGATACATTTGGATCGGCAATCAATACAAAGTAAAATAACAAAAATACCGAACGCCAAGGAAAGTTCAAAACGGAAAGTCCCTCATCAACTGCCAAAATCAAAAGCTCAAACACAACAAACGAATGAAAAACATATTCCTGACTTAGTACATGCATTTCCTTATGTAGAAAATGGTGTATTAAACCTTTTTTTTCATAGCTAGCTAAACCTCTAACTCGCTCCGTTTTTAGATATCACGAGATTCTCTGAGGATCTTGATTTTATACCTTCTTTCTGAAGTTAAGAGATTTGAACATCTGCAAAATATTATGTCTTCCAATTTAAGTCAGCCTAACATTGCTGGATTTAGTTCAAGAATATTAAAATTGAATTATATTCCATTTAAAAGGATGTATCTTTCAATCGCCAGTACATGTGTTCAAATATGCGAGATTGTTGTTCTTTATTTCACTTAGAATTAATCCCTTGTAAAGGTTGCTGCATATACAAGAGGATGCTGTCTAACCCCACTCCAACCCTTGGAATAAACAGAATTCTCCTACATGGAGTACTTACATAACCAAAGCGTTTCTAAAAAAAATTAATATTGTTTGTGCGTGATAAATTTGTTGAAATACTACAACTGTGTAAATCGCACTTGTACCTACACGAAGCTATTATTACCCCCCAAAAAACACAGTTCTATCTTTTCACAAAATCTGTTTTTAAAGGGAAAGTACAATTTGTCAAATACATGCGTTCAACCCTTATTCATGCTGTGAATAAAATTGAATAAATCATAATCACGTGGTTGAACTTCTGTGTTGCTTTCAAGACGAAATTCTACACATTCATATGAGGTACAGCCTTTTCAAAACGATATGAAATTACTTGGCCAAAATAACGAAAATTTAACATAAAACACATTAGTCCTTTCGTCAATGTGTCTGCCAGTAATACAAATGTTTGATCTAAACATATCTCAAAAACTTCGTGATCTAAGATAAATTGTTTAGTGGCAGACTTATAACGAAAACCCGAATGTTTTTTTTTAAACAGTGTTGATAGATACCAAAGATATTTCATTGCAAGGACTCGTAGTGATATATTTCCATTTGAAAATGGAAAAACAATTAGCGGTACGTGTCAGTTTTATTTTACAATAATACTTTGTATAATATTTTCACTGGTACCTTATTTAAGCTTTAGCTATCAACGTTCAAATTTGAAATTCATTATTTAAAAGTAAAAACCATTAAAAGTTAGAAAAAAACAAATGAAGCATTTTTTACCTTCATCAGCAAAATTGATGAACAATTGGTAACTCCATCGAGAATGCCGCTGAACATTAAAAAAATCACAATTTAAAAAATCCTCAATTATTATCAAAATGAATACACAGTGTAATGCATACTATCAATGTATTCTACTGGTATAACCATTGTACAAAAATTAATGGCTCTTCTTAGAAGACTTTAAGAGTAATGAATTGATTAAGGGGTAAATATTCTATACTAAACGTTGAGTTAAAAATTTTTATTTTATATTAATAGCCTTCGGAAAACACTCCGAATATTCAAAAGTATAAACATGGTTACCGCAGTGACTGATTGCGTATGACTTGCAAGGATCGTTTCTGAGAAATATAGTATTGCTGAGTCTTTAGTTTGCTATGTTGTGTTTTGTGTAGTGTTGTTTGTCTTTTTGTCTTTTTCTTGTATTGCCACGGCGTTGTCAGTTTATTTTCGACTCATGAATTTGAATTTCCCTATGGTATCTTTTGTCACTCTTTTGTAATTGCCCCTTATGGAAATTATATACTATTCCGCGTTATTTTGAAACTATTTAGAATTGTTAAATAAGTATATTGTTTGTTTTATTCATTACCTTCATTATTAGTTGGTTATAATAAATCATTGATGTTGATAACAATCACAATAAATAAAAAAAATATATGTAAAACTTCAAACATTTGCAGGCATGTTATTCAAATGTTTTATTACACCATAATTTCAGGTATTTTTGTTATCTCACTTAAACTTATAACAGAAACAGTGTTTGCAAGAGACGGAGATTTTTGTATGACATGCTTGATTTTTATTTTAAGAAAAATACAAAAAAATCAGCATTGAATATAACATCTGGTATATAATAGTTGTCTAACAATTGAGGAATGACAAAAATTAAGTATAACAACAGATCCCATTAAACTACTCAGGAACATCATGCAACTGAAGTATCCCTTAAGTTTCGTTGTCAATACGAAACTGTCAAACAATTGTGCTCTTTCCGGTTTTGTTTGATTTGATGTGAAAACCAGATAAAGATATTCTTGATAAATCTTTAAGTGAGAATTGATAAAATAAAACGTAGACAATATTCCATGGAGTTCTACGAATCAAAATACAAAGAATGACGAAGAAAATGCTCCAGATGTATCTCTCTGTAAAAGGAAACAACATTAATTCAACAATCTGGACTAATTATGCATCGGACGTCCGATTTCCCCTTCAGTGTTAATACACATAGGTTTGTTGAGAATGATAAAGGACTGACATGAAAAAGGATGTGTCACAATTTTATTAACTTATACAGTTAACTTGAAACTCAACTTTAAACTAAAATAATTATTGGTTGTATCGTATTTATAATTGTATTTCAGCGTTATAACATAAACGGTACAATTTTATTGCACCAGATGCGCATTTCAAAAATTAACGTCTTTTTCAGTGATGATTGGAAACCGTCTAGAGAGCAGACACAATAGAAAAGGACCAAAATTAAGACCAAACCAGGACAATAAGTCAGCCCTTTTAATGAGGGAGATACATTCCTTAATTTAAAATGATTTATTTTATTTATTAAGACAATGTCCTCAATTTCATGCCAGTACCGAAGTTTTCGGCTGGTTAGACCCTAGGGACTATCAGTGCACCTACAAAGGTATCGACCGTTATGTTTATATTATAGACTTGGTCATGTTGACCTTAAACGCGTATTCGTTCCCTATCGCAGTGAAATAAAAAGGAAGACGTTTGCATGGATTGTAGACAATGTGACACTATAAACTAGATCTAAAATGAATATCAGTCCTAATTAATCTATTTTGACGTTATTATTGCGCCAATACCCCGATACTATTTGCTTTTTAACGTTCTAAATCTACACTCAATTGTTACAGAAAAGAGGGACGAAAGATACCAGAGGGACAGTCAAACTCATAGATCGAAAACAAACTGACAACGCCATGGCCAAAAATAAAAAGACAAACAGACAAATAATAGTACAGATGACACAACATAGAAAACTAAAGACTAAGCAACACGAACCCCACCAAAAACTGGGGGTGATCTCAGGTGCTCCGGAAGGGTAAGCAGATCCTGCTCCACATGTGGCACCCGTCGTATTGCTTATGTTATTACAAATCCGGTAAATAGTCTAATTCGGTAAGTCACATTCGTGAAAAGGGAAGGGTATTGTAGTAACGACATAAGGAACATATCCGATATCATCTGTGAAACGGTTATTCCATAACGGTCAACCAACTCGTGATGGCGTCCGTAAAATTTACGAAGGGATGATTTCAACTTCACCATTTGGAACTCTTGGTTTAATAGCTTCCTTGTGAGCAGCAATCCTCTATCAAGGAAATCATGATAGGAAAGACAAGCCCGGGAATATCGTATCAATTGGGAGATATATACTCCGTATGCAGGCGCTGCTGGAATGTTGCTACATAGAAATGGAAAGTTCACAATTGGGAAGCTGAAATCATCTCTTTTGTCGTAAAGTTTTGTTTTCAACCGACCCTCATTGTCAATTTCTAGATGTAATTCAAGATATGAGGCAGACTTAACTGTATCTGTAGTATCCTTTATCTCTAGTTCGATGGGATAGATTCGTTCAACATAGTCACCAAATGTTGTATTATTTAGTGAGAGAACATCATCTATATAGCGGAACGTTGAGTTAAAGGATATTGCTAAATTCTTATCTTTCTTAACCTGGTATGATATAGTGAGTTTACTTCTGGTCATTCAATGTCTACAAAAAAAGTCAAACCAACACTAAATATATGATGAATATGATCAAAACGTGATGTGTATTCTTAGAGTGATCCGAACATAGATTGTAGATATTTAATTAATGCACGCTACAAAATAAAAACCCGAATTTTTAAATTCTTGGTTACATATACTTAACTGATTTTTTATTTACAATGAGTATCGTTTACTAACAATGAAATAACTAACAATTACTTTACTGTTTTCAACCAGCATTATGAACGATTGGTGAAGTGAACATATTAATGGTATATTTTATCTTGTAAGGTATAAAAACTCTGTAAAAATAATGCAATGAGCACAAGATATATAGTATATAACATTTAATTGTCTAAAATTGAAATATTGACTTTTTATAAAGCAAACAGTAAACATCGGACCTTGGAACGTTAATGATATACAAATACATGCACAAATTGACTAGTATATTTTGAAAAGAAGATTTGTTATTTCCCATAAAAGTAATGCCTCGATGAAATCAAAATAATCACCACACTAACGTGTCTGATTCCGCACACAAAGAAATTTTGTAAAAATAAAACCCATATTTAGATCCAGATGATACATGCGTACATACCACTTGTTCATCATCATCAATGTATAAAAATGTACTACACCTACGGATGTTCTTACTCTTTCTTAAAATTTTACTTTTCCTCACATTGTTTTGTCTTATTCACTGAATTTGTAGATACATCCTTTCAATGTTGTCATTATCATCACATTCAATCGCACTTGGAAGACTACTATCACTTCTTATTTTAATGTCTTAGAAATTCGTGTACCATATCATAGCTGGTATTTGCTCCGGTGTGATTCTGACTACTTAATAAAAGCACCTATTGTTGTAAAGCTAATTTCCTATTGCCAGTGTCAGCTGTCAAGGAATGAATTAACTGAAAAAACAAAGATGTAATACTACATATTTATCACCCGGACATTTCCGTTATGAATACATTCTGGAAAAATGAAGTACATGTTAACGTTGTTAACCATATTCTTAACGGAACTTACACACACTCATGGGGCTAAATTAATCTTCGCTAGATTTGCCTGATCTGTTTAGGTTTTTTTTAATCTTGTGCCCTCGAAAGGTTTTTTTTTTTACTTCGAGGACTTCTGGTAAAGGTTATACCCGAAACACATGTTGGGCCCATAGAATCAAATCATTCGTTTTTACTAATATTTAGCCGTAACCGCTGATAATGCACTGTCTTCACCTAGTAACTATTCCTTTCGTATATATCTCCCAGTTGATACTGTAGTCTACAGCTTGCATTTCCTTGAAAAGTTGCTTACAAGGAAGCTTTTAATCCAAGATTCCAAGTGGTGAAGTTGAAAAAGAGGGTCGAAAGATACCAGAGGGACAGTCAAACTCATAGATCGAAAACAAACTGACAACGCCATGGCCAATAATAAAAAAACAGACAAATAATAGTACAGATGACACAACATAGAAAACTAAAGACTAAGCAACACGAACCCCACAAAAAACTGGGGGTGATCTCAGGTGCTCCGGAAGGGTAAGCAGATCCTGCTCCACATGTGAAATCATCCCTTTGAAAATTTTACGGACGCCATCACGAGTTTGTTGACCGTTATGGAAAACTGTTTCACAGGTGACAATGGATATGTTCTAATTGTCTTAACCACAATCCCGTTTTCTTTTGCTTGAGTGTTTTCTTCCGAATTAGACGTATGAGAGAGTTTGGACTTACATGAACAACACAACGGATGCCACATGTGGAGCAGGACTTGCTTAACGTTCCGGAGCATCTGTGATCATCCCTGTTTTTTGTTGGGTTGGAGTTCCTCAGTCTTTATTTCTTTTATGTTGTGTTTTGTATACTTTTGTTTGTCTTTTGGTCGTTCTTCGTTATTTTGCCATGGCATTGTCAGATATTTTTCGACCTATGAGTTTGATTATCCCTATGGTATTTTTCGTTTAACAGGAATTCAAATTTATGTACATTTTTATTCATAACATTTCATAATTGTATATGTTACATTTAAATGTAAGGTTACAACTTCCTCAAGCAAAATTGACGTTAATTGATTTTGCATGCCAGATTAAGGTTTATTTTGGTTATGGGGCTCTCCGACGTGTTATACGTTTGACTTTTCCAATTGTTGTACTCATGAGAGTGATATGTTTTGCTTTTCTCTAAAAGATAAAGGTTTGACCAATCATTGAAAATTTTAACCACAGACTGAACCTTGATGTTGACGCAGCTGACGACAGAAAGCAGAATCTTTCGCGACAAAATGGCGCAGGCTCGAAAATAATTAGGTGAGTGCGAAATGTCTGCCCCACCAACTTAACGTGCCGTTATTACACAGAAAGGCAAATACTAACATCTTCTTCCATACTCACTCTGGTAATTTGTTATCTTTCTGAGTTCGAGTAGAATGTTTTCACGAAACGTTTAATAAATAATGATAAACCAAAATGTTTGAATCAAATGTATATGACTAAAATCTTTGCTTGATACTCACCTTTGTAGTTGACTTTTCTCTCCATTGAGCACAATCGAGACTGCAAACATAAATAAATAAATTCTACAATTCTTACTTTTAATTTTTTGAAGAGTAAAATGAGATAAAATCCAATTTACGTAGAATGCATAATAATCATAACTTGCAGAATTTATGCAAAGACTATAAGGGGTGAAATTCCTTTATAAAAGATAGAAATACCCAACAAATATTTTTAAAGAAATTCAGTGGATACGTTCATGTATAGCATGGCACGCATCAGTTGGAAAGCGATTGAAAACTTTCGAACAGCAATATTTGAACATTTTGCGAAGAGCATGTTATATTAAGTTATAAGATCATCATAGGAATAAGGATTTGATTGCAATATTTGAAAAAAAAACAATAGTGATCATCTTTCAGCAAAGATTCTGTAACGCCGCAAGGAATGGAAAAAACAAGTTTGACTGTGAGCTGTTGGTAAACAGAAAGTTATTGGATGATGAATCTGAAAATTCAAAACATTCAAGTTTCATGATGACTAGAAATTTGGTGCAAAAATTCAGAAAGCTCTGATCTGCTGTTCTCGAGAAAAGTTCGACGAAAAACTTCCATGTGAAAGACGGACTCACGGAAGACTTAGAGTAGTAATGAATTGTATCACATCGTGTTATGTCGGGACCTTTTATAGCTGACAATACGGTATGGCGTTGTGGTGGCCTATAGTTGCTTACATCTACGACTTTTGAATGAAAAACGTTGAACGAATTCCTGTCCTTATTTGACTGTACCTGTAAACATTTTGTTACTAAAAGCACATCGTATCCTAAGTTTAACGGTGATGTAAAAAGAGCTGGTAAATTCAGATAGCTCCATGTTGAGTGCTCTAAATCATATTTAACCCTGTAACAATCTGTATTTGCCTAAAGGACAAGAAAGCACCTGGAGAAAGAACATTTTTGAAGGTCGTTCAGTGACCTATACTTGTTTACATCCTTAACCTTTGACTTTGTGTCTGTAATTGTTTCATTGGCTTTTCATATATCATTTTTTTTAATATATCTTCATTTATGATTGACTAGAATTTATTTTTAGTTACTCAATGTATTATCATATCAAACAGAATTTAAAAAATACCAAACGGACAATCAAAACTTATAAGTCGAAGAAAAACAGAAAATCCAAAGTCAAAGACAAAAAGACCAATACCATTTAAATAAAGGCAACAGTAGTATACCGCTGTTCAAAAGTCATAAATCGACTGAGAGAAAACAAATCCGGGTTACAAACAAAAACCGAGGGAAACACATCAACTATAAGAAGATAACAATGGAACAACAGAAACGCTGAAGTGCAACAAAAAAGAAACGCCAACAAACATAGAAACGAACTATTTGATAACAACTGCCATTTTCCTGACTTGGTACCGGACATTTTAAGAAAAAATGGTGGGTTGAACCTGGATTTATGGCTAGCCAAACCTCCCGCTTATATGGCAATGTTAACAAATACCGCTAAAATGACAACACTATGTGACAGGAATACAGCACAAACAAACGCAAGAACACTCAGCACAGAAAAACGCACGAATAAATAATATAATAGTCGTTACAACATGTAAACCGCAGAATAACAACGAACATCTTCCATTAACGACAGCACAGGACAAAACAAACAGTGACGTATTTTTGTGACGAATATATAACCTTGAAATTCATACAATTATTTTCTCAATACCAGTCCAAACAATTATCAAAACAATACACAGAAAAACAAAGACTGAGAAACATCCGTCGTATTTTTCGGGGCAAGTAAAATTTGATGATACGATGCATTTAGTGATTCCATAATGGTGACAAGAGGATAGATAATAATAGTAATGTTATATGTATGTTGGCGTTTGCTTTTGTTGTAGTTCAGTGTTTCTGTTGTTCCGTTGTTTTCCTCTTATAGTTGGTGTGTTTCCCTCGGTTTTACTTTGTTACCCGGATTTGTTTTTGCTTAATCAAATTATGACTATTGAACAGCGGTATACTTCTGTTGCCTTTATTTTTATGAACTCCTTCGAAGTTCACGTTCAAAATTAATGAATTTATACTTTTCACCCGATCATTTCAACAACTAGTATTCTGGTTGTTTGCAAGCCACTGCAATATAGGCTAAGCTATGACCTTAAATGTGGGTTTAATTTTACTCGAAAAATGGGAACTGAACATTTTAATCCTGTCAACTCATTACTGTACGTTCAACGTGTATTTTTAATCCTGGATCACAGGCACTGTTTTTGCATCCATAAATTACTAATTGCCATTTGGTAATGTCTTAAAGGAAAATAAACAAGGTTTATCTGTTTCCCAAGAGAGATTAAAATTTTAAGATACTGAGACAATCCATGTTAAACTCTTTCCTATTCATAGTATCATGCCTCGTTAAAGAGCTACATACATTTGGTTCCCACTTAGATATCTTAATCCCTTACCAAGGATTAAATTTTAGAAAATCATAAATTTTGTTATTTACTCCTTTAGAATGAATAACAAAGAGTTGATTTTCAATCAAATATTAGTTTGTTGTAAATCAGAATAAAAAAGACATGTACTGAACATAAGTGCGTATTTTTTTTTCTCACAAAAGTGCAATGTAATATAACTATCAAGCGGTCAATTTTTAAACATTCCAAATGAAATCTGTATACGCATTTATCATAAAGAACGCCTTTGATACTGAAAATACAAATAACACTTTCGAAATATGGTGCGTCCGAAGGGATAGACACATTTACACTTGTATGCAAATTCGTCCGCCATTACTCAAAGTCGAACAAGTTCCAGTAAAAGTTTGCGTTCCAATCTAAGACATCTGACGTCATAATTAAAGGGGTTGATGCCAGAAGAATATTCTGAGACAGATTAAGGGTCATTCTGAGCAATTCAGCTAACTACCCAAATGTATGAATATGTCTATTTCATCAATTTACCTTCATCACGTCCACTAAAATTCAGAATTGGAAAGTCAAGGACAATTTTAATAGTGATTAGATTGAACTGATAAATATTAGACATGAGGCTACAGAAATCTAGTTATTTGTGATTAATTTTAGGATTTGCTTTAATTTGTGTACATTTTTATCAGTTGTATGTTTCTCTTCTTGTGGTAATTGTCTAATAAGTGTTTTTCACAAAGTTCTGTGTATTTATTCATCAATTGATTAGAAAACGTTCAGATTCTTTTTGATTGCATGATAGTTAGGTGAAATCGTTTTCCAGCACACGAACTTTTGTTTGACTTGCTCAAAATGGGACGATTGATAACTACATTACATCGCATTAAAGATCAGATTTTTGATGATAGATATGTATCATGTATGTTTAACGGGAAAACAGTAATATAAAAATACATAGCAATTTGAGGATTTAATAATACTGGTAACGGCCATAACAAAAAAGCAATAAAAAAAATCACTAGAAAAGAAACCATGTAACTTAACTAATTAATGAACATAATAAGTTTTCTTTAATCTTACCTTTGATTTAAAATTTATATTCGTTCGAACAGCTCTCTGATTAATGGACTGAACTGGTCGTGTGTTTTTATAATTCCAATCACCTTTACCGTGTGTTCGTAATAAGTCAAGCTGAAAGATAAACCCGTCTACTGACTCAATATCATTAAATGATTAGCATTCTATGTTTTCGTTATTTACGTCTCGACATTTCACCCTTTAATAATCAATTTGAAGATGCAATATCAGTTTTTAATTATTGAAGTCAGCGAGTTTTTTTTTATAATATGACAGAAAGTCTTACTCATTGCTAGAAGAGTAATACGTTGAATTAGATAGTAATGATTTTTAATATTGGTATATTTGTAACTGTATACTAGTATATATATATATTTGTATACATTGCAATAAAAAAAGTCCTTAATGTAGGAGGTACTATGACAAGATTCTTTATTTGTTCCTTGAAAATACAAAATTTAGTAAAATTCTTCATCCTTTGCAAAATAATGCCATTTTTGTAAATGATTGCTTCATTTTAATTCACTGTAACGTCATAGAAACTTCATAATTGGTATATTACTTGGTACAATTTAATTAAAGCAACAACAGTGTGTCTTTTATACGATTTATCAGAAACGCATACTATAATAACATTTTAAATGGCAACCCTGATGTGTAATGATAATATTGGTTATAATAAACAAGTACATAATCATAAAATGCCACAAACTATCTTTTCAAATAAAAAAGTAATAATAGTCGGTCCTTTTAATGTAGGCAAAATGTCTGCCAAAAACTGCTTGTGTCAATTTTTAATACCTAATGTCTTTCAAATTAAGAATTATAAAATGCATTGCAAAAAACTTTCAAAGTTTCGTTTTTCTTTTAAACATGTTAAACGAATTAAATGTATCTAGGTAGGATTTGAAGCGAAACAAAAGTCCAGACAGTTCATAGAACATCTATACCGCATCAACTTTTCCTGTCATTAAATGTTGGAAATTAATATAATTAATTTTCTTCTGTTACTAAATGATGATATAAAACAAGGAGCTTTGGTGTGATTGCAAACGAGACAACTAACCAGAAAAGACAAAAGGGCGTAAAATCCTTTCTGTATAGAAAGTATTAAACGCACCGGTATGACAACATGTTAAAAGATTCAAATTAAAAATCCAATGGCCTGAAACTGAAGCTTAAAACAACAAATGAAAGCAAAGAGGTAAAAAGGAACAAATGACAACCGCTGAATACACTATCCTGATTTTTGACAGGCACATACATAATATTGAGGGTTAAAGATGTATGTGAATGGTCAATCCTCCATGTCATTACTTACTAAGAGTTCTAAATGGTGAAGTTGAAATCATCCTTTCGTAAATTTTACGGACGCCATCACGAGTTGGTTGACCGTTATGGAATATCCGTTTCACAGATGATAGCGGATATGTTCCTAATGTCGTAACTACAATCCCGTTCCCTTTTCACGAATGTGACCTACCGAATTAGACTATTTACCGGGTTTGTACTAACATGAGCAACAGGACGGGTGCCACATGTGGAGCAGGATCTGCTTACCCTTCCGGAGCACCTGAGATCACCCCCAGTTTTTGGTGGGGTTCGTGTTGTTTAGTCTTTAGTTTTCTATGTTGTGTTTTGTGTACTATTGTTTGTCTTTTTCTTTTTTAGCCATGGCGTTGTCAGTTTATTTTCGATTTATAAGTTTGAATGTCCCTCTGGTATCTTTCGCCCCTCTTTTACTAAACATTATTCTTTATCATATTGCATATAATGAAACAACATACGTTTATACAAATACTATTACCTGGTCTTCTGAGACATATACTGGTTTATTGTATATAATCCATGTGACAGTCTCCTGACAGCCAGGCTGTGTAAATGAACCCTCGTATGTAATATATTGATCTGTATTTGGTAGGAGGTGAGATAAATCCCATGAATTAATAAATTTCTCTAGAAAAGAATATATATTCTACACAGTTAGGGACATAACTAATTTATTTGATAAATTAAAAGCTGATGGATTTTTATTTTAATGTCGTTGGAAAATTAGAATGAATGTTAAAAAAGAAGGTAGACTTACGCATGTAGCACACACACAAAAACTGAAGAAGATTTGAGACATGCTTGATTTTCAAGATATTTGTTTAAGCCCTTTATACTAAGAATATTCGTGATAGAAAGTATGTTTATCTGAATTATCATTTTTAATTTAACAATATATATATTTCAACATGAAATATTACTCACCGTAAACTGTGTTCATATCTTTGTAATCTGAAATATTTAGGTAAATAGATTAAAAAACGATAAAAGAAAAATGAAAGAAAAAACATTTTTTGTATGTTTAATAGATATAAGAAGATGTGGTATGAGTGCCAATGAGACAACTCTCCATCCAAGTCAAAATTTATAAAAGTAAACCATTATAGGTCACAGTACGGTCTTCAACACGGAGCCTTGGCTCACACCGAACAGTAAGCTATAAAGGGCCCCCAAAAAATACTGGTGTAAACCCATTCAAACGGGAAAACCAACGGTCTAATCTATATAAAAAACGAGAAACGAGAAACACTTATGAACCACATCAACAAACGACAACTACTGAACATCAGATTCCTGACTTAGGACAGGTTCAAACAAATGCAGCGGGTTTAAACGTTTTAATGGTACCAAACCTTCACCCTTTTCTGAAACAATAGTGTAACATCACAACATAGAAAGACACACTATAAAATATCAACTGAAATAGCTTAACTCAATCAAAGGACATATTAACACCATTGAACATACTTTGAAAAATAAATTTGACCTATGACACAATGTAAATACAAAATAAATAAACTAAGGGAAGAATAATAAAAGTAACATGTTATATCGGTAAGAAATGTTAAACAATTAAAGAAAAACAATATGCTCGAACAAAAATATCAGCCATATGCAATAACTTTAAACATACTTTAAACCTGCCTGTGACATAGATGTGAAGCCGTATTACAAATTAAAATCATCACTTGATGTCGCTTCGTGTATCCTGAAATGTTGCAGATAATACTCTTGTATAGTGTGTGGGTGCAATATAAAGACGTTTGGAGACAAAACATGACATTTTTAGCATGTTACATTTTGCATCTCCTGTTCATTTACATCATACGGTTTTACCTGAGAAATTGCATTGTATATCATATACAGGTATTTAGCATTACAGAGCTACTAGTTAGTCATACATGATTCAGAATGTTATCCATTATATCTAGAAAATGAAATAAGGTATTTCTTAGGTACCATATATAATCTCCAATCCTTTTACATCAAACGGCAAATATATATCTGCTGCATACATTTTAGTCTCTGTAGTAGCATAACAAGGAATACACGAGTTGTTAAAATGAGTCTAGTATAGATTGATCTTACAATTTATCAATCAGTATCCTACGAGATGTTCTACCTTAGTTCTTTTATTTTTTTAAGTGAATTTTTGAAAGCAGAAAAAATAAAAATAGCATTTTTAAATTTAGTGTGTTCAATTTACCTTCATCAGGAACGTTTAAACCCCCAAAACCCTGAAGCCAAGAATGAATAAATACTCAAATACTGAGGAGATATATAACCACAGAAAATTATAGAAATTTTGCGACCATGTGATTTCTTGTGTAATTTTTTAAAGCAAAGTTTAACGTTTTAGATACATCGATTGATAATATGCTTACAAGTATCACACATTTTGGGATAAGAAACAAAAATAACCAAAAAATTAAAAACCCGAACTCCAAACAAAATTCAAAAAGGAAAGTCCTTTATCAAATGGCAAAATCAAAAGCTCAAACACATCAAACGAATTGAAAACAGCTGTCATATTCCTGACTTGGTACAGGCATTTCCTTATGCAGAAACCTCTCACTTGTATATAGGTATAGGAAGATTTGGTATGAGTGCCAATGAGACAACTCTCCATCCAAGACAGAATTCCATTATATTGACTACAATGTGTGAGGAAAACAGACAGACATAATAGGTAAAAATGTAAAAAATTGGGGTACAGCAGTCAACATTGTAATATAATCTTAATCACTATAAAAACAAATAAATATTTCAACAAAGAAATACAAATTGACATATAGACACTCTTTAGATAAAGTACATAAGTGAAAATGAAAGACAAGAATACAAAATTGACCATAGCACAATAACACAACGGAGGAATATATAAGTACCGAGCCACGCCAAAAGTATATTACCAATTATAGACTTAACAATAAAGGTTAAAAATGTACTAGGACAAATAAAGTTACCACTATAACACGTAATTAAGATGATAAACAACGTCAGTACCTATAATCTATACTTCAAGACCATCATGAATTTATTTGTAAAGTTGATACGGAATATTTATCAACAAGGTCTTGGTATCTTCCAATGAACTTTTTATAGAAAAAGGACGAAACGTTCTTTGACATAACCTTGGCTCATCGACTTTCTGCTCAGACACTGGTGACGTTGTATAAAGTCTGAGTAGCAGCTGCAAGCTCTTGAATACCAAATTAGTTGGGAAATGTATATCCCATATGCAGGTGAAGTTGATTTATTGCTGCTAAGGTGGGGTAATTCATATTTTACCTGTTTTTCTCATGCCAGGGAGATGCACTACAATTTCTTCGATTGCATAGTTAGGTTTGCTTCCAATCTATATAAAAAAAACAATGGTGCTTGAACATATATTTAACGCTATGACTCTGTTGTAAATAGGTTACATATATGGCAAAGAAAGAGACAACCATTTGTGTATTCCTTTTTGTTGATACAAATACTACTTATATGTAATTTGTATATGCTCTGAAAGATCATTCAGTTTTCGGTTTTTTTTCTTCATTTTTTTATGTTTGTATTTCTTTTGTTTGGTTATTGTTTTGTTTTTTTTTGTTTTCTTTTTTTTGTTTGTTTGTTTTTTTGTCTAATCCAAAAAACGTGGTATGAAATAAGTTTGTGTGATAAATTGCCAACAAAACAACTATCCATAAAGACCAAAGGACATACTAGTAGATGTGAACAGTTACTATGACAGGCCTAATACTGCAGTCAACAATGAGTAAACCCCATGCCGTATGGAAATATATACAAGGTCGCGGGGTAACAATGTGGTAAAAACTTAAAAGAGAACAACCTGATACTACAACAATATGTGTTTTGAGAATTAACATAAAAACATGTAGGTATAAGACATATTCAAAATGCATGTAAATGATGATAATTCGTGATTTTGGTATTGTAGCTTTGTACATCTACCAGTGAATTTAATTCTAGGTTTTCAACATGTCTATTTTCAAAAATTGTCATGTGAAACTTACCTCTAGAAAAACAGCTATAATTACGATCCCCTTAGCACCAATCTCTGCTTCTGGCTTACTTTTATATACTTCGTCGTTGTATCCTATCATGTGTACCTATATATGATTGAAAAGTAGGTTAAAAAAAACACATTTCATTTTGTGTTGCCTTCAAGAATGCCAAAAGCTACACATAATTCGTCTACGTTTTTAACATGTTTACGGTAAATAAAGCTTTGAAATCATACTTTAGTTATACAAGAAAAAAAAACAGGAAATAAAAGGTAAAGATTATTTTCAATGATTGAAAAATAGGTTAAAAATACACACATTTCGTTTTTGTGTTGCCTTCAAGAATGTCAAAAGCTAGACATAATTCGTCTGAGTATCTGACATGTTTGGTGTATATAGGGCTTTGAAATCATACTTTAGTCATAGAAGAAAAAAACAGGAAACAAAAGGTAAAGATTAATTTCATCAGTCAGTAATACGACAGTCTTACTTTGCATTTACAAAAACTAAGTTGTGTATTGAATTTAAATTCTATAAAACATGCATTGTTCTAAAAATTGATAAGGATTTAATATTAATACACTCCTTTTTCCTCGTAGACGTTTATCATATTATCTGCTCTTCCGTATTTGCAAGAAAACCAGTGAAAAATTGAGATATTTTAGGTGATAATAAATCATTTACAAACAATCTACCATGTTTGGTACCCGTGAGCTATTGCAGATATGAACTTGTAATCAGCGTACAGTTTGAATTTAATACAAAAACTATTTCCAGTGATATTAATTGACTTGAAAATTGAAATCATGTCTGAGAATAATATATGACTTTCATTAGTAGTAACTTACTCATCCAAGTGATTAAAATGTATTGATTATTTCAGCAAAAGACAGCATAAAGTCTTATTATTACAAGGAGCTCTTTAAATATGCACCTATATTATATGCTATTTTTTTCTATCGTATACGTAATTGCTATGGTTTAGAACATTGAACAAGAAATCATGACACCCTCTCTCTCTCTCTCTCTCTCTCTCTCTCTCTCTCTCTCTCTCTCTCTCTTTCAGTTTCGATTTTTTAATTTGAAGTCGGTTTTTATATATTTATTATTGCATACTGTCAATAGGACTATTTTGAAATATTTTTATCTAAACGGTTAAATATTTTCAGGCAAAGGCATGGCAGTTGTAGAAATGTCGTATTACAAGTTTTCAAATTAAAATGATATTCATTTCTAATAAAAATCATGTACAAAATGCAGTAGTTGACCAATACATTTAAAGCACTGTCACCAGATTATCACCAAAAAACGGATACGCGAATAAATCGTATACATGTACAAATCAAAGTATAAATCGTCGCCAAGAGTTGACTGGGGTATTAAATATGGTCATTACTGGACTTCTCTTGTCCAGCAGAAAAAAAAACTCTTGTTTAAGTAAGGCGTCTGTTTGGCTATGTTGGATGTATTAATACGAGGTCGTTCATGTTTGGTCGAAATAAGCAATGAGTCTCATTCTGTTTGCATGTTACAGAACCCATGCAACACCTTTCTGATGGGTTACTGTCCAACCTATACATAAAACTATATCAATCCAAATAGGGACTTCCAGAACATATATTTTGTATAAATGCATGAAATGTTTGCCACTTGACGTTAAGCAAGCATTCAATCAATCAACATGATTCGCCCTTAACACAGATCTTTCTCCTTTTTATTCGTGATAAAATTGGTATTGCTTAACTAGTGGAGCACAAACTGCTTGCCCTTCCGTAGCATCTGCATTTACCCCAGTGGCTGTGGGGTCCGTCTGCTCAATCTTTAGCTTTCTGTTGTTTGACTGTCTGTTATTGTTTTTTTTCTTTTTGCCATGGTTTTCTTTTTGTTTGCCTATTGGAGTGGCGTTATGGCGAATAAAGGAAATAGCACATGATACGAAAAATATGTTTTCTAATACGGTATGCGTAGTACGAGCTCGAATGTTAGAAAGTTAGTATCTCACTGGATGCAAAGTTAATATCTAATTTTCTTTATGCATTATTACCTCAGCGGGAAATGTCCTGTTTCCAATCTTATGCTCCGAGCCAGCATAACCTTTGATCCCATAGTGAAATTTTACATCTGTGATTTTATACGAATATGAGAGAGGACCTCCTGTTATATTAAACAAGTGTTGTGTGTTTTCGTCTAAACTAAATGTAATATCTAATCCATTCGTTTCTAATCTTCCATTAACCTGAAATTGTATATTTTTTAAATATATTATAACTAAAACACATATGAGTAAAAGGACATTTTGAGAACACGTCAAATCGACACCGACTCAACATCACAGAATTGCAAGAAACTGTCAACTTGTTAGTATCAACAACAAACAGATTTCAGAGGCATCTGTTTATGTGACATCAATTTGTAATCAGTTTTCTTTAGGTTCAGCCAAATTTCTAAACCAAATCTTTGTATTTGTGAAATAATTTAGTAAATATTTTAGGTAAATTGTGGTAACGAAATCCCTGACTTAATAATTTACCAATGATACAGATATTACGTTTATTAAAATCTATAACGTCATTACAGACACGGGCAAAACAAATGAGTTGGAATATATAAACACCGTAAGACTGGGGCAAAGAACATCACCGTCCAAAAAAGAAAAATTAATAATAGGGAACCAGAATGTTCCTTGTCAGGGTTAACCTAGAAAAGTGCACTTACTGCAGCAGAACTATGGCCTAGACTTTGATTGCAAGAAGAGCAGTTATCAATAACAATTTATATATATATATATAAATATACTTACATTAGCAGTATTGATATGCAGATTAGTTAAGTTTGGATCAAACAATAATAAACTTGGATCTATTTCTATTGGAGATTGGTGTTTACCACTTTTGCATAGATCCCATTCCTTGCCGTGTAATTTGCCCCAATATTCTGGTGCTAAAAGGAATATATATATATATGACATCACAAATAAGATATTTCCGTAGCTATGACGAGATTATTTTTTGTAATCTTACTTTTACTGATTATGAACCTTGTTCGAATGTAAGAGAAATATATATACTGTATCCCTGTTTTCTGTATATATTTGATCTCACTATTCGATTGCACCATAACTACAATAATCGAGGACAACTATGTTTTTTCAATTTGATCAATAGCGACAGACCGAGCGTACAAATTCATACATGGAAAGCAAACGGCTGCTGTCTAAGGACATAGTATGTACCTGCTCAGTTACTCAACTGTTTGCCATATTTTTGATGACAGATTCAGTGTTAATGAGAATAACGTTAGTAACCTATCTATTTCAAAATTAATTACTGGCGAGACCATGGCTGACAATACGGTATGGGTTTTTTCTCATTGTTGAAGGCCTTACGGGGGCATATAGTTGCTTTGGTCTTCGTCGTTTGAACTCTGAGGGATAGTTTATCTCAATCGTTTGCAATCATACCACATCTCCTTATCTTTAAATTGTAGGCGTTGAAAATATTATCTTCAGTCTTAAACAATTGCTTGGTAACGGTCATTTCAAAATATTAATTGATATATAAGTTTTAAACAATCAAATTGCTCAGTGATATTTGAAGTGCATATCATCAGCAACATTTATAAATACCGTTAATTTATATGCCATTATAGACAGTTAGCTAGCCACATTATACTAACTAAACCTGTCCATCTCTGTTCATATTTATTCCAAAGAAATGCTTAGAAACATTAACGAATATTTCTCTTTATCGTGTTCAAAGCAACATCAGTAAACACTACAAAGTACAACAATACATTTGATCAACAAATGTAACAATCATGTTACATAGCCTGACAATCTCTCGTGAATAGAACGTTTGTGACTTCATTTTTCATCTTATGTCAATAAATTGCTACAGAGTTAAGAGTTCTTTGCAGTGACTTCCTGTCACATCGTGACATGACAAACTTGGTTGTTCATTTTTCCTGTCCAGAAGAACGAACACTTTACACATCGATCATTAGGAAGCACATTTATTCTCTAAATTGCTCGCTTAATTGTAAAAATGTGTCACTGCTGACATTTTCGTTCGAAATCTAACTTAATAACGATTCAAGCTGTTATTAAGTAAACCAAGTAGAAAGAAATTGTAAAATTTGAATTTTAGATTAAAATACTTAACACATGTATCCTATTGGCTAAAAGATAAGACAAAAGTACAGGTTAAAGGCATATTTCAATAAATTCCAATTTATTCCCGTCGAATGCTTTCGATTAAAAACAGACGATCAGATGCACGAACCGACATATAGTCGTATTTATAAGGTGTATATCATCCAAATGCATCCTTATGTTGTTTTTTCTTATTCTGTGGTAGATATGTAAACAAAATACTTAACAGTGTACGAATACACTATATAATATTTTAATAAAATAGTTTGTATAAGAAATACCATGGCAAAAATAACGTTTTGATAAAGGTATTACTTTTACAATGCAAACTACATCGCTTCCAGCATCAGTTTAAATCTTAATACATAAATAAATCAGTAAAAGATCAAACAAAGCATAATTAATATATTTATTTATATCATATGTTTCTTCAAGCTTGTTGGAAGACTTAGCTTACAAGGATCTGACAACACTCCTTTCTATTTTCTGTTCTTGTAATATCAGTAAATGAAATTTCAGCCCTACAAATTTTTGAAGTATTGTTGGATTACGACAAAACCAGAGTATCCCGAAAGGTCTATAAATTAGAAAGGACAAAGAGCGTTGTTAATTCCTTGTTAAAGAAGCATGGACAAATGATTGATATTTTAATCAGATAGGCATGATTCAAACGTCCTGATTAAGTAAATCCAGCATCGACAATAACACGGCCAGTTATTTTTTACTTTGATTTACAATATTATCCAAATTGTAGTACTTCTAGATTGATCATATGCTACAGTACAGCATTATATGGTATATACAAGCACTTTATTCCACATCACATAGCAGAAGACATATTAATGATATCAATATTTACGCGTCAGCAAATGTATCAAAGTCATAAAACCAATTATAAAAATACCAGACAACATTCAGTCTAGTGTTCCGCCCGAAGTCGTTTGCCATTGTTGGAAAAGACAAAACCTCATTTATTACAAATATAGTAACTCTTTCATATTAGTTAGACATAAAAGCTTATAAAGGAAAAAAAAAAAACAGACGTTACTAGTTGTATACATTTTTTTTCTTGTAAAAATAGCATATTGAAGTTATTTCACAGACACAGACACACACACGTAAAGACAAACAAATAAAATCAAACCAGTTTAACCTGCTACGTGTTCATACAATATATATGCCAGTTTAAAGTTTAGAATCTCCTCAGTAATAAACATAATGTTTTAGTTATTCGAAAACAGTTGGTGTTGATGGCAGTTGGAAGTCTTTTGTTTGTTTTATTTTCACGAATAATTTAGACACGGGTGAGAGAAGGAAAGAAGGGGTGGGAAAAATGGTACTAGTAATTGGAAGATAGTGAAACCATGAGAAACAAAACATGTAAATAGAGAGAGAGAGAGAGAGAGAGAGAGAGAGAGAGAGAGAGAGAGAGAGAGAGAGAGAACAAAGGAACAATCAAAATTCAAAAGTCTTATAAAAAAAGACAACACATTGGCCAATAAAAAAACGACGAAAGACAAAAAAATAATAAAATATTAGGCAGAAAACCAAAAATTGAGCGACACAAATTCCCTCAAAAACTGGTGGTGATCTCAGGTGCTTCGGAAGGGTAAGCAGCTCCAACTCCACAAGTAGCAACTGTCGTTTTGCCCATGGATATCATCCAGCGATAATTTATATTTGGTAATGTCACAAACTAAAAAGAGGATGGGATTGTGGTGACGGGGATTGGAACATATCCGTAGTTCAGTTGGAAATTTAAGTTCATTGGAAAGGGTTGCAGTCGACATAGTCACACACCTTTGATTGCATTATGATGGCTGTTTAATCTCCAGTGGCAAATTTAAATGCATATCCAGAACGAGAACATGTTAATGCGATATGAATATGAACCCTGCTTTGTACTAGACCGACACGCTGAGTCGGATTTTTAACGTGCTAGTTCACAAGGTAACAGTCCGCAGGAAGACATATCACCTTATCCAGACAAATTATTCTTACTCCGAGCCGACCAGTCTTTGCTCTTACTTCTTAATGCCGGAGCCGAGAAGCAGCAAATACCAATTTTAAAGTCTTTGGTTTGACCAGGCCGGGGTTCGAACCCGTGACCTCCCGAACTCGAGGCGAACACGTTACCACGAGACTACCGAGGCGGTCACCAAACTTTGAATTATTTCATTAGTGACAAGTCAAAAAAATGAATTATTCAGTGAAATGACAAAATGTTTAAAGCAGAAAGTGAAGTTGAAGGATGGTGCTGTGTTTTTTTTCCCCCTGGTCATTACACAAATGGTCGACATGTGCCAAGGGATCTAGGACAAAGACTAATAAACACATCACATCCAAAAGGTGATCGTGCTACATATTTAGCTTTTTGTTTTGCGCTAACAACTTATGTCAATATTGGGAAGTCTTCAAGTGGTTTTAGATTTTATATACAGAAATATCCTAATTGATGGCAAAGTGGTTGTGATCAGATTGTACAACTATACACAACCACATACTTTGATTTTGATTTGTTTTATATTTTCACGAATAAAATACAATATTTGAAATTAGCATAATGCTTTCTTGAGACATATTGAAACAGATCGTGCATTGTACGAATGACGACCTGGCGCAAACAATTGGTTTTGATCATTGTCGAAGGCCGTACGGTGACCTATTGTTGATAACTTCTAAGTCATTTGGTCTCAGATGGAGAGTTGTCTCATTTGCAAAATACAACATCATCTTATTTTTAAATTAAATTACATATAACTGATCGTAAATCTAACTGGCAATAGTGAAATTATGGAAAAAAGTAAAATAACAAAAATACCGAACTCCAAGGGAAATTCAAAACGGAAAGTCCTTTATAAAATGGCAAAATCAAAAGCTCAAAGTGCTAGAGCTGCAAGAGCTGGTTATTGACTATTTATTGCATAAAGACAAACTTACCGAGATGTGAATCGTATCCCCAGACCTTTCCTAATTCATTGGCTGAAACAGAGAAAAAAATATCAAGTACATGTACATTTATTTCGTTTTATTGTTTTTAGAAACGAATTCAACTTTCACATTTCAGTACTATTCTAAGGATGTAAAATATTTGAAGTTTTTGACCATGCCATGAACCGAATGGATATAAGAAACTGGTCCCCGAATAACGATTAGTTTTAATATATGTAGTAGACGAATCAAGATACGCGTAAAAGGGTAGAAAGAGAAAACAAACCAGTCGATGATATCAGACAACACTATAATAGCCAACAGAGAAAACTTTCTATATTTTTTTCACTAAGGACACCTCAGAAATGTTCATTGAATTTCAACTAAATTTAATTAAATTTTCGCTGAACAATTTATCGTAATTTATCTACAAACTGATTAGATTTAATTGAACGCAAATTATTTTCAAAATTATCAGTTTTTTTTTTTGGTTTTAATGAAATGAAAATAAAATCTAGCTGATGTAACACGAAATGGCTGTTTCATTATATACCTTATAATTTATATCTATCATTTCTGTTGCTTCTGAGGACAAAATAAGACAATACTTTTCAGTGGATCAGCAAACCATTTTTACCCTTGATTCATTTAAAACAGACTATATTTCTTGTAGTTCATAATAATTTCTAGGTTCTCAACTTTATACAAAATACTGGTATCTGTTTATTCCATTAAGTGCCTAATTGGGAAATGATTTTTCACTTAAACTAGAATGACAAATAAAAATTAAGAGTGTAGAAAAGCAGACATTTTAATATCATTGCAAATTGTTGTGATTGAGGACATTCAAGTAAATATTTTATCGACCATACAAATAGCTTCTTTGGTAGTTAGTCGTTGATTCTCCGTACTAGAAGTGTGTTAGTATTTTGTACTCTTTAAGGAAACCACATCTGGATGATACCACTGGTAGAGTAAAACTCTTCGCGATAATTTGAATGCCTTTTTGAAACAAGTAAGAAGCGTTTGGAAAAGGAGAGCAAGTGAAACTGATAGACGATTCCGATTTTTTTTATCTTATGCAGTCTAGTCATCCAATATATAGGAGGAAATCTACATATATCAACCCATTTTTTTATATTTACTCCAAAGGAGAAAGTACTTTCGTGGTGTGCTAAATTTTAACGTCATAAAATTACTTCGCGATGTATATAAGATGGTCTGGATGGGGTTTACAGAATAGAGAATAATGCGCAAAACGTGCAGAATAAAGGGCAAAAAGTATAAAGAATAGAGAAAAACAGGCCAACAAAAATAGAGAATAGAGAATAATGGGTTGTTAAAATATAAAGAATGGAGAATAATGGGCAAAAAATATAAAGAATGGAGAATAATGGGCAAAAAATATAAAGAATAGAGAAAAATGGCTTAAAAAATTAAAGAATACATGATTGAAGGACCCCCCCCATCTATACCCTCATATAATAGACTCAAACCCATACTCTTTTTGATACGATTCCCATTGTTATGACTTCCATGTTTGTCTTTTTTTCTCCTTTCACATAGGATCTTTAAACTAACACCAGTGTAACCATGTCATATTTACTGCATGTGGATGTTAAATGATTACATATTCTTTTCCATATTTGTTGCATGATTGTGTAATAATAATCTTATTGTCAACAAGACAGATTGAAGTGTAAACGTATTATTCTTTGATATTTTTAGCTTTAAAAGTCACCACCACCTTCAAGCGAATAGCCACATGTAATATTTCTATACGCAGTGGGAGTTTGGTATCATATTAAGTATAACAACATGGTTAGTTGTAGGTTGTCAGGCCTATTAATATCGTCTTTTTTATTAATTTGTCATCTTTATTTTCATGACTTTCATTTAAGAATTATAGATTTTTGAAAATGACAGCAGACGAAATATGATAAAGCACTCCATATCTGCAACCTACGTTATTCTGTTTTAATTATGATGTAGGACTTCAATCTTTTATAGTATAATAAAATGCAAAGACTGAAAGGGAAGCTCAAATGGAAATCCTTGTTTTATTGTATACTCATAATATTTGCAATCCTCTTACCTCTTTATATGAAATCTAGATCTTGGTTATTAATTTCTAAGCTATTTAGAAAGTAAAAGCAACGAAATCTTAATGATGTATGGCATGTATGGTTTTAAAGTATTAAAATAATCCAACTCCAAAGCCAGGAAAGGATATTAAACATATGTAATAATAGCAAGTCACATTAATAATTTAACTTAATTGTATCTCTTGCTTACAAAGACTGGAACAACTGTACGTAAACTCAAAGACCATCTCAAAAGAAAATGTTATGTAATAAAAATTAACTCTTTGTTATGCATTTCCCCGCATACTCTAAAGAGCTGATTTATATATCCTTTCCAAGAAAATATAATATTGTCAAAAAATTTGATTTAGTCCTGAAAGCTTTCGTCGCTTTGATTATTGTTTTTACAAATCTAACTAACATAGAATTAAAAGAGATTTTTTTGGCATACATTGATGAAGGTTCTATTTATTTTTAATGCAATGATGTAAAAGCACGTTTGATGTCTGGCATTCAAAGTCTACAACAATAATCATTGATCAATTGATTGTTGTTTGTTTAACGTTCAGAGGTAAATATTTCATGCATATTCAAGACCAAAACCAGAGACCAAATTGACAATTCACGAAATAGGTTATTTTCCCAAAAAATGGTCGACCGGGATAACGGGCATACTTTCGATTACTAATGGAAACTGAGGGTGTCTGGGATAAGGGGACTCATTTTGCTTTGCGACAGGCCACAAATTTATTGAAATCCCATAGAAATAATTAAAGTTTATGTTCACACGGGGGGCAAGTCTTATGCAGTCGTTGGTATTTTTTTTTTTGTTGGAGGGGGGGGGGGGCAATGTCGGGATTAGTAGATAGTTAATTCACCATTACACGAATTATACATTTCAGGATTTAACTTCGAATGACCTCGATACTGGATTTTCGAGATCATAGTGACCTTTTCAATATAAAGATTAAAAACGTCGTATCACGTGCAATTTATCTAGGCATCTGTCTGGTCCTTTTCAAAGATGAATAGAGTAAATACAGTGACAAATTTAACAGAATTTATATCAAAATAGTCGACTTCTTTTCTATTTTGATACCCTCATCCTTGTGCAAACACATGTTCAGGTACTTGCTCGCTATGTCTATGTCTGTACCATGGATGTCTTGAATTTCAATGAACGTTTATGTATTATGCATCAATAGCGCGCAGAAAAAAAACCATGTCAAAGGCGTCAAATTATAAATTCCGAGATTTCAGTAAAACAGTTTTTTTTTAAATTCTTTTTCATAGATGCAACAATCTGGTTTGGTACCTACATAAATCTAATTACTAGCGTGAATCATATCTTAATTTTACGGTGATGTTAATATAGCTCCTAAACTAAGATACGATCAATAAAAACCTATCGTCCTTTTAATGAACTTATTTATAAAGGTAATCAATTTAACATTGCATTGAAATATGTGAATATTGTTTTTAACCTTGCATGTCTCTTTTCTCGAAGTCATTTGTTGTAATGTTTATGTTTTGCAAACATTTGTCCGTTTTCATTAAGTAATAAACGCTTTGGGTCCTACATCCCGACGATCTTTTGGCTTTGCACAAGATCATGAAAAAGATAATGGAGATGTGTTATGAATGCTTGTGAGACAAATATCCGCCAAAGACCACAGTATAACTAAGGTCACCTCATAGTTTTCAATAATGAGCAAAATTCATAACGTAAAGTGAGCTAAATGTTTTCCGAAATCGCCTAAAACTTTTTCGGAATATGAAGATTGTTGCGTTAATACATCCGCATGGGCAAACATATAGTCACTATATACCGGTAATTGAAAAATTGAAAAGAATTGAAATTAAATGATATTTATTTTTATGACATCTGTCAAAATATTTTAACGCAGTAGTATTAAAAAGGTGTTATTTACAAGATACTTACTCGTAAAGAAACGAAACTAGAATCGTCATAGATAACTCAAGCAACTATAGCGCTTGAGTAAATATTCTAGCTTCTGTATGACGAATCTCGTGAATGGTGCTTGTAAAATGCGATCTCGTCCGTAGAAACGGAATATCCGGAAATCTCGTATAACGTACCGAGTAATCTACTAACATTTGAAAGACAGTTATGTGTGCCTTTAAATTTTTGAACAAATGTACATGGGGTTGGCAACAAAAACATTAAAAAGTTGCATTTCTTGAAATGGCGGACAAAGTCAAACACAATATGTATATTGGAGACCTGAACGATGATGATATGCTCATACGAAAGTGGAATCTCTTTTACATTATTTAACATTTTGTTATGCCGGGGCCTTTTATAGCTTACTACTTGTATGGGTTTTGGTCATTGTTGAAGGCCGTACTGTGACTACTATTGTTTTCATCTTCGCCCTTGGGTCTGTGGTGGATAGTTGTCTCACTGGCAATTGTACCACCTTTTTTTTTATCAAGATAAAGTATTCAATGAAAAGAATATTTTTAAAAAGCAAACTTGTTTATCTATGCAAGTTTACAAAAATCTTTTTTTATCTGTTCAATCAAATACTAGTGCAGCAAGTAACATTAAATCAATCATTTGTAATTTCAACGTACTTTCAAAATGATCTATTAAAACTTTGTAATAAAATAGTTACATTCCAAATCGAAAATTTTACAACGGGAATTTTCAATTTGAAAGAAAAAATGTTGATACAATGTTGTTGCATAATACATTGAGAATAGTATTCCTCAACGGAAGAATAATCAGAGAAAAATCATTGACAATTTCATCTCAAAGGGAATATTTACTGAAGAGCAAAATTGATTATAAAGGGAAAGATCACGAGTTATGTGGTATTTAGTAAAGATATTTATTTTTTTCATTTAATGGCAAGGGCAAAATAAAACATAGTTTTTGTGAGAATAAGAATTAAATTGATCACGTTGAGTTCATAGGAAACTGAAAGAAATGTTCGTTTGTAC